AATCTTCACTGATTTTCTTAATTAACTTTTCCTTATGTAATTCTTACAGTTCGATTCGATTGAAGTTTCGTGTCATGTTATTTATATTAAGGGAATTAACGGTTGAAGTAGTCGATTTGAATTTTTGTACTTTCACTGAACTGAAACTTTTTGAACTTTGATATATTCTATATAATAAGGATAATTCGATGAACAGGTGGTTCGAGGTAAAATGTTTTTGCTCGATTACGTTTACTTTCATTTTTATGTGGTTTAATGTTCTTTTCCTTCGGGCATGTAATAGAAAGTTTTATAGTTATTGTTATTCGGCCGATGATCTGGGGAATAATTGAATACTTTATGCTTTGATGGATCCCGTGGAAATCGAAAGCATCGATTTTTTTCGACAAGACCGTGTGTACCGCGTGAAAGTAACGATCCCCTCGTTTCGTCCGTTCTCGGTTTGCTTGTTTGTGGGAGCTTTGCTACGCCATTGATCGCAGGAGTAAAATGATCAGGCTGATCGATTGACTGATCCCACTGGTACTCCCGTGTGTGCAGAGGTTGAATTGTCACACGAATATCGTGGCGTCAGTTAATATTCAATGTCGAAAGATTCTTTTCAGAGAAGGCGAGAGGCGTTTCGATGGAATCATGTTTCTCTAGACAATGGGAACTTCTCTCAATGAAATTGTAACGAGAAAACTACAAACTTGACGAATCGATTAAAACCGTAAATACAAATTTCGAATTGAAAGCTCAAAATCAAAAAGCCTGAGAAGCGTTCAAAGTTTTCGAGTATAAAACGATTTATTCCTCTGTAAAACATAGTAAAATGGTGATTTATTGGAAATTTTTGGCATTTATCATTTCATTAATTAATATTCTTACTCGGCTAAAATAAAGATGAAGCTAATTCAAGACTTTATCATCCTCCATCAGGGTCAAATATTTGGCAATAAGGATTCGATCGGGGTCGAAGGCAATTTCGAAATAACGGTGAAACGAGCGTTCAAAACGCTGATCGTTCGTCGACGGATCCTCGAGCCAGCTTTTGTGATAATTAATCAGGATTCCATTCACGCTGCGGATAACAAGATTACAAGCTATTGTTGCGTACAGTTTCGTCGGACGATTCCCCGAGTCTTATCGCGCGACCGTTCCTCGACGCGATAGTCCTCGCGTTTCGGAATTCCAAGCATTCGCGCGTGCAATATTGAATCAACGAACGAGGGAATATATTAAGCGCCGATCCCTCTTATCGGCGAAGTTAAAATATCTTTCAACCGACCGAATTTCTGTTACTCCGAGTGTGAAACTCGCTAATTAATTAACCGTGAAACGGCGTAAAGCGATTTACATTCCACCGGCAGGACATTTCTTCGATAAGCTGCAATTAAGATATCAGACTCAACCGAAGAAACGCGAGACAACATCGGTTAGTATTCACCATTGACTTTTATACCTGTTGACCTAATTAAATCATTCATCCCCGTAACGAGTTTCTACTTACAAATTTTATCAATCGGCCTGCGAAACTTATTCGACGCGAATAAATATTCGCGACTTCGCCGCCGGCGATTTATGGGACTATAAATTTCTTCGATTTCCTCTTGTCGATTTCTTGATCTTGAACATTTCTGCCATCGATCCATCGAAACTCGGGACGTTTCGTATCGCGTCGGAAATCCGGATTGTCGGAAACGTTACGGTTCGCTTCGAATAAATCATGGACTTTCTAGAGACCGTGAGTATCTATCATACGTTTTGTCATTCCTGCGGTGCCATCGCGATTACAATAAAACCGATCGGCTCAACAATCATGCCTTCCATCAATTCTGGAACGAGCGCAAAACCACGGACGTTCCTTAATGCGTCCAACTTCGAGCGTGGACTGGCAAGAAATGGAAATGGAAAACCTTGAGGAGTATCCTGCCCAATCCAGAAACGATCAATCAAGCCTGTATCTTCGAGCTACTTCCTTTCTAAAATCTCAGCCTGTGCGTCGCGGTACTCTAATTACCTTTATATGAAACTTTATAATGCAACACGGTCGTACAAAGTAGTCAGAGCATCATTCAACAATCTGTTTCCCTTTAAAACCAAATGCATTCAATTTCCACTTGTCAAACAGAAATACGAAAGCATAGAAATTAAAAAAAGAATATATTTCATCCTCTTATACAATACATTCGCGTGAATCTACGATTCAATATCACCGAGATCCAAAGAACCAAGACAAAAACAGTTGCAATGACAACTTAAAACACAAGGAACATCACAATCATTACAGCAATACAATACCTAACGAAATGCAATTAATTCCCACGTACTATAAAAACTCACAAAGTAGCCACTTCAATAGCAAAACTCAAAGGATAAAGCTTCGAAGTAACAGCAGTCACAGCATCCTACCAATTAACCCTTTGCACTCGGGAAGTGACTCTCAGTCACTTGATTCGATGCAGTAAAACTATAAAATTTGATATTTAATATTGAACTGTGTATAATCGTTGTATGAAATATTCGGATAAAAAAGCTTTGTCTCTCAATTTACTTGTGATTTTTCTCTGAGTTCATTTAAAAAAATATCGTCTTTGTATAGTTAGAAAACGTATTTCCAGCAAAACACTTCCGAGTGCAAAGGGTTAACACAAGCCAAAAGCCGATGAAACACAAGCAGCCAACTGCTCTGGGGTGAGGGAAAACGCGTTCTGCTGAAGCCACCGGCGTTCAACGAGCTCGAGGTCACGTTTCCGTTTTTCTGAGCGGGCGGGCGACACGCGTAGACACCTCCCCCGGGACGTCGTTACCCGGGTTCCTCGTTTCTCGAGGAAATCGTGGGTTTGCTTTCCGCTACCCACGCATTATCGCGGTGGAATGCGTTCCGTTCGTAGAGACGAGCGCCTCCGATCCGTCCGAGCTCCGCCAGCTCGCTCCAACCCTCTCCCGCCGTTTGATCCTTGTTCGTCCGCTTATTACGGCGAGAGAGAACGAGCCTCGTACCGATTTCCACACGTGCGATCGCGTTACTTCACCGTGCCGGCGATTAATTGCGCAAGATCTAACGCAGCTGCCGACCTTCGGGGATCTCGGGATGGCTGCGCCGCCGAAGGCAACCAGTTTCCCGCGTGAGAAATTGAAACGGGACGCGAGTCGCTTGCTCGGGATGATATAATTAACGATCGCCGTTGAGTATCGTTCAACGGTTAACGATCTGTACGGTATTTATGGATTATTAATGCTACAATTTGATTGGAAATCGAATACTCCGAAATTAGTGATGTTTGTGATGTTTGTGATTGGGAAGTTTTGTGTGAAATGTCTCTTTTATTTCTTTGGGAGTTGCATTGTGTTAGGAAAATGGAGATTAGATTAATTCGTTTCGTTTGTGTAGTTGGGATTCGCGGCTTTCTAGAGGAAACTGCATAAATGCGGTTGCAATGGAACGCGAAGGAAACTGATGGAACGTGATGGTTTTGTGATTGCATTTAGGTGTTCGACAACTGCACGGAATGAACTTAAGGTAAATTGAATAATAATATACGAGGATGGAGGATTCGCATGGATTTTACCGTACCGGGCTCCAGAAGATGATAGATAAGAATGCATAAAATACGCAGTCTAGCGATTACTACTATTAAGGTGAATGCTCCTATTTTCTGCTGCGTTATTATTAACGAGCAGTTATCCTTCTCCATGTTAACGAGCCTCGCGTTCCGTTCGTACGATGGCTGCAGCCTCGGTTCTCCCGCGAAACTGTGTCAAAATTAAAATTACAAGGCTGCCAACGTCTTTAATCTCCGGATAAAACGTAAACGGTCTTCGCATACATTAATCGGTATTTTTAGTAGCTCGGAGAGTATTAGCTCTTCCAGTGGTTCCGTGGAAGTGGCGGGATTCTAAGAAGCTAACTTGCGTGAAACCATTTAATTGTTGAATCCTATAGAAAAGATTTAATTAAGGTTCCTGGGACAATTGATCACCTATCGGGCCGATAAGTGGATTCTCCGGCGTCCCTCAGGTCTCTTAACCGTGATATTAAATTGTTTCGTTCTTTTCCCGCAGCGAGCGAGAAGTTTCGAGTGTATTTTTAGCTGATCGTGTTACGGGCGTTCGTTAAAACGTAGATTACGACTCAATTTTGAACGGACGCACGCGTCGTTTCCCGATGAAAATTCCAATAAGTCGCGCGAGTGCTAATTAAACTCGTGATTATTCTGCGCCGTTCGCAGTCGGGTTACATCTCGAACGGAAAATTAGCAACGCGTATTAATGTAACCGCATTCTACACTCGTTCCGAATCGTATAATTCGCCGCGGGTAACGGTTACGCGAGCATCCTATCAACTTTAAAGTGGCGGATCGTCGAAGAAAACGATAAGGGGAAGCCTGCGGAACGCACGGTTCACCGCAGAAATTCGAAATATCCTTCGTTACTTTTTGCCCGCTTTTGCGTGACGCGTTCCATTTTCCGGTGAAAAGGATCCTAACCCTGATGCATCTTAATCGACCAGAAAAAGAACAAGGACGCGGATTTTCTCCGGCTCGCGCTTCCACGTTTCTAATCGCGGAAACGGCTGCGATCCACCGGCCAGAATCGACTCAATTTTATTCAGAATTGAAACTTATTTACTTAATTGTCTCGCTTCGTTAGCGAAACAGTGCCTTTCGAATTCAGATGATCGTTCAATTAATAAGGTACACTGCATACTTCAGTTTCTGATGTCAAGGAGAACATCCTACGCGGAGCAACGTAGTCTCGTGATTTCTTTGCTAATTGTACACGTATCGGAGAGATGATTACTAGAATCTTGTAAAATGAACCTATTAAACAACTGATTTTTCTGAAACACTATACCAATTTTCTTCCAGCGAAGGAATAGTAATAAGATGTTCACGATCCCAATAACAGATTAGGGAAGAAAATGAAGATACTCCTTCAAGCGACGACTTAATTCGTCGATTAACGAGCTAACGAGTTTCCTGTGTGCGAATTGTTGACATTAAACAATGACTCACCAGTCTGATGTAGGTGCCGATCATCTCCGTCAACTGCGGTGCTCGGTTCGTATGCAAAGGCAGCCTGACGCCCGATGCAATCTGCATTACGCAGACGCCGGCGCGCGGAGAGCTGACAGAGACAATATCCTCCAGAGGCAGAGTCTCCAGGATAACCAGGTCCCCCTGCGGCGTGCGTTTCACGAGTCGCAGACCATGGTGAGAAACAGCCACGTGTTGAGTCTCCGGGTGTTGCGGGCCAATCTGTGCCAACGATCGACGTGACGTTGTTAATCTTAATGAATTTATGAAATCATTGGCTCAGATAATTCCCCGACCGAAATGGAATAATAGAGAATGGTTGTCGTCGAATCGGGACAGTTAGGGAACAATAGACAAAGACAGTTACGAGCACAATGACAGCTATTATAAATTCCAGGGACAGCAGCGTTGCTGCCAATCGAATGCGCCAGGGCCAAGCCAGCATTAAGCTTTTGCTCGCTAACAACTGAATGCACGATTTAACCAGCAGTTTCCTTCCACGACTTTCCTTTCGAGAATGTCGCGTATGATTAGTCATGTATAAACAGTTTTGCGCTGCTATTATCGCGGGCAGCTAGCTGTCGTTCGGATTAGGCTGCTCTGACCTTTTACTTTCTGGTAGCTAACTTGACATGTTGGCTGCCAGATGGTTTTGTAATTTATCAGCAACTGAGACTAATTTTTATGGTATCTCTAGTGAAAATGAACAATGCTGTAACATTCCTTCGATATTTTATTTTCCTTCTCAGAAATTTGGATGTGTGTAGAATCTAATAATTTTAGGGTAGTTTCTTTGGTTCGTTAAAATATTTGATACTATAACTGGTGCAATACCGGAGCCTACGGAGTTCAAAGGGTTAACGAAGTGTGGTAATATTATCGACTGGGATTTACGTAGTAAATTATTTAAGTAGTAATCAGAATGAATATAGTTAAAGATTCTCAAACTTAGAGCACTCACCGATACCGGGAATATCCTAGCAAAGTACAGCGGCCATTGCTTCGCCATATCAACGACGTTCTTCTTAATCGTGATCTTGTGCTGAGTACTCTGCAGATTGTCCAAAGTCACTCCGTAATTGTCCAGCATCTTCAACATGTTCTGTCTGTCCTCTTTAGTGATTCTGATACTGGACGTCGCCAGGACGTCGTAAGCCACCTGGCAGAAGACAAGATGCAGCGCCAGGGGACTATTCAGGGTTTCATTAGGAGCGAACACTTCTTTCTTCACCCTCAAAGTCCAAGTCACTCGGTTGTACGTGAAGTGAGCTGTAGAAGTTTGAGGATAGAGCTTGGTATTCATGACTTCCTGAACTTTCTCTATTTCAGGCTTGTCAGCGGGCGGTAACACCGGTCTGAGGAACTCCGGCCATTCCTCGATCTCGATCCTCTCCATTTTGTCGGTTCGATGAGTGGACGCTACGCTGGACCTCCTGTCGACTTCGCGGTCCAGCTTCTTGAAGCTCTGCCTAGCTGCAGCGAAGGACTCCCTGGTGTTCGGCATGACACCGAAGTCTCTGGACGATGGCATGCCGAAACTGTCCCTGGACTTCGGAGAAACGTCCCTGGTCATTCCGAAAGGGTCTCTCTTGGAGCTGGAATTCTCGAAGATGTCCCTGGCGTATTTCGGATCGAAGATGTCCGAGTTCAGATCGCGGCGGGAATCGAAATCGGAGCTTCTGTCTCTGGCGGAGCTGGCCAGGTCGGTGCTGTCTTTGCTGTAGAAGTCCTTGGACTTTTGGTCCTGGGACCTGGGCTTGTCGAAGTCGTTCCTGTACTCGTGGCTCTCCCTCAGGTGCTGCTGGGACGCGAATATGTCTCTGCTGTGGCTGAACATGTCGCGCTGCGCTTTGGAGAAGTGCTCGAAGGCCTCGGAGTCCGGGGATGCCCGGAACGTGTCTCGAGTCTTTGGCTCGATTGGCGCCGGAGGTGACCTTGGCTGGGGTACGCCGGATTGGCTGCAATTTAGTGAGACGTTTCAGCTTTGAATATCATTCGTTACGTGTTGATTTCAACGGTAAACAAACATCAATACGAAACAGTAAGTGAAAAGCGATATAAATAACCACTGACACTAGTAATGTTAAGCCAACGTTATTACATTCTTCTAAAGGCAGAAAGCTAGCAATTAGTTTATTACATGCTATTTAACTGTGTCCTAAATAGAAGAATATATAAATTTTCATCGTCTCAGAGGGCAGTGCAAGTTATAATTCTGTGCAAGTGAAATCATGGTGTTTCTCAGTAAACCGAGAGCGGTTGTATCGCTTCTTTAATTTACGAAGACCTCGATAGCAAATAGATGGTTCTTTTCATAGTGTTCAGAATATTGTCCGGCAATGTGTGTCAGAAGTACAAAAGAAGCTGCGAGGAAGTGGTAACAAAGAGTAGACAACAGTACCTGTTACTGTACATGCTTCCACCTCGTGGACTAGGGGGTTGCGGAGGTGTGACCGGAAGCGGAGGTGGCACAGGCCTCTCCATCCTCTCAATCTGGGTTCTAACTACCTGGGCTTGAGTCATCATGTCTGTGGTGCCTTTTGAAGTGACGCTTTGCGTGTCATCGGCCGTGGATGCGTAATCGTCCCATCGACCTCCTTTAAACCGTCGAATCATGTTCATAATCGTTCCCGCAACGGCCGCGATGTTCAATCGATTCAAGCTACACACTCCGACCGTCGTAGAACCATAAAGTATAATAAATTGACGACGGATCGTTATGCAGACACGGATTTTTGCGGATTAATTTGTATAAATTCACGTCCAAATAAATTCTCTTTACTCAATCAAGATCTCTGTCGTACGCCGAGAAAAATAAGAATCTACGAAACTTTCCCGAACATTTTCCTGTGAAAAGCTTCGCGAGATTGATGACGTTATACACATGTGAAGTCTACAGTAAATAGAATAATTACGGTTTGGTTGTTGTATACGACACTGTTAAAGTTAATGGACAACGGTACCTAGTTGCTGCTCGAGAAGAAGCTTCCTATTGTCTTCTAAACGCTTCACTTTGTCATCGTCGCGCGGCAGAGCCGGTTTCTCGGTGGTTTTCGTTGATCTCACGCTGTGATTAGCCGTCACCTTTTCCAGTCTTTGTCTCATTTCCGAGCTGAGCTTCAGTTTTCCGATGCTACCTGGCGACGGTCTTTGCGCTCCTACCTCTAACGCTGACCTGTAAACATAGAAAGAAATATTTTCATAAATAGAAACATTGGAGAATTACTGGGAAAGTCATGATGTATCGTACTTCGACTTCTTCTTTTTCTTCTCTCCCTCCTCCTTGTATCCGTTCTCGTGTTTAGTCGCGGGGACAGGCGTATGAGTCACCACTGTCCTTTCTTCGCTGCCAACAATGTTTTCAATCTCAAACTCTTCCCATTCGACTGCGCCTTCCGTGCTGGGTTCACCGTCTCCTTGATTGTATTCACCGAATTGCGGGGTTATTTTCCTTTGTTGTTGCTGCTGGCGCATCTTAAACTCTATGAAACTGTCCTGGCTTTGATTCTCGTTCGAATCACTCGGAGGCGGCCACCTGAAATTAATCAATAAAAAAATTTTAGCCTAACACCTGTCAGATCGATAGAATAAACTTATTACCAGTAAACTATATCAAAAATTCATAAAGCAGAGAAATCAATATTAATCCTTAACGGACTGGAAGTATTTAAAGTTTACACCGCGAAAAAATAACATAGACAACAAGCAGAAAAGTTGACGCAAGTGACTTAGCACAATACTTGACTAATTGTACTAAAAATAATCAAATGATTCCTGTAAGTAAAAATGCTTATACCGCTGCATCCGTTAAGGGTTAATACTCATTATTTACTCCATTTCGTTGATTTACCTCCATTTTCCAATTCGAACCGTCTTAGCTCTGCCGTAAGGGTCAAGGAATGGCCTCGACTCAGATGGGTCGTGCGATTCCAAGGGCGGTGGCATAGGCGGCGGGGGTGGCACCCCCTTATTGTTACTAGAACTCGATAAATTGCTGTCGACGCTGCTCTTCCGATTCTTCAGTTCGCTCAACACGTTCGTGAAATTACTCTGCACGTTGTTCTTGTTCGTGCTGGACCTCTTTTGATCCGCAGCGCTAGAGATCTTCTTCTCGCCGACCTTTCTGTCGACGCTCACTTTCCGGACAGCGTATTCTACGCTGGTTTTCCGAACGATTTCCGAGTTCTTCCTCGGCGGGCTCTGCGATCGATGGATCTGAGCCTTGACAGTTACCTCCTGGCGCTGTACGTTCGTCGACGATTGAACCGGCGCCCCTTGCTTCTCCGTTGACCAGAGCTCCCCGTCTTCGGGCTCCCTAAACGACACCTGACAGTCGCAAACATTGCATCAGAAGCCGAATCTCCACTGAGATCCGCGTACCGTTACGACACCCTGATGATATTAAGTTCCAGGTGATACGCAAAGTATTTTACAATCGTAAACATGCATCGAGTTATACTACTATGTGCTGTTTTGTACAGTGCAGCGAGAGACGCGTGGGATTTAGGTAGCAATATGGAGGAGCCATATTGATGAATCTTTCTAGAATAATTTTCTATATTCCATCAAAGTTTGTATATCATCTTGAATCATGTCAAAACCTTTCTACAAGTTATACGAATATTTCGAACAATGAGAGCTTACCGATAGAAAAATACACGATTACAGGCCTCTTCCCGATGCTGAGACTCAACGTCCTCCGTCAGCAGTCGACCCGATTCCCCCAATGCGGACAATAAATAATCCCATCTCAAACTATGTCAATCACCGGCGGAGGAACCATTAGACTCGATTAATGATCTTTCCGGCCGCGGCAGTCTATCGTGACACAATGCCCGGGTAAGTTTCCCCGAGCCCGCATTCTCCCGCGGCCACTGTACAAGTCAACTTTCAAAAACTCGTTCCGCGGAAATCGGTCCCATAACCGGTTAATATCCACAAAACTATGATACAATTATATATGTATATTTTGTACAGAACTCTAACGATCGCCGTGCGGCCACGGCCTCTTAGCAACAAACCGCCGATTGAATCGCTGTTAGATGAAATCTTTAGTAGATACCTTGGAGTAGCGTCCGATAGAATCGTTCGGCCCGATTTGGGCGCCGTTTTGGGGGGCTGGGGGGACAAGATTGATACTGGAGGGGCCCGCGGACACCGCCGTGCCCTGGAAACACACACCCATGCCGCGGTGCGGCTGAAAACCCCGACCAGGATCGTCCTAGGTGGGTCGCGCACGGCCGACCGGTCGCCGCGCCGCCGGTCGACGCGGTGCGCAGCGGTTCGAGAGCGGTCTCGTGCAGCAGTCCGTTGTGCAATAGTGATATCGTGTGTTAGTACTAGTTACATGTGATCGTGAGAGTGACACGCGGCGTCTTTACCCCCGTCACGCTGTTTTCATGACATTTCACATGCACGTTCTTTCTCCGATCGGTGTCGTACCGCGGGTCGACAGACGGATATTCGAAACAATTCAAGAAATTCGATCGAGTGTCTGTTTACACTAGGTTTACGCTCGATTTCGCGCGTATTGAATTTTATAAACATCGGTGAACGGCTGTTAGTGTTGATTGATCCAATTACAGGAGTATGTAGTCTAACCCTTTTCGGACGAGGATTGTTGGAAGTATACAAAACCTACAGATTCTGCTAAATTAAACACTGAACGCTCAAATTGTAGAGAATAAGGAAACTGTACTGATTTCTTGCTGTCCCAATAGTTAAATCATTTGTTCGCAACTTGGTATTCCAAGCGTGGAAGTTTGATCTCGACAGAATGCCGACATTCGTCCGCAAAGGGCTAATGGTTTATTCTTCGAGGAATAGTAGGACGAACAATAAACGTTCGTAAACCTAGTGTACAAGTACTTTTTACACGGTGCGTCCTCTCGTCGGTCTCTTCACGTCCGCGCGCGCGTGTTCGAGTCGGTACGATCGTTTTCTGGGACGACGCGAGAGGATAATCAAGCTTAATGGGGAAATTCTTCGGATGATGGATCACCCGGCGACTCGGCGCGCTGGGAAGTCTATGGAATGTCCTTGTCGGAGTAATTTAGGATCGAGGATTTTCCTAGTTCGAAGTGTGTAAATCGTGTACGCGTTGCGTGTCGTCGGGTGTTTGGAATTAATCATTCGAGTAATGGATCGTGGAGGTCTTCGTGTCACCGGGAGCTATCTTCCTCGATTGACAATTGAATCGGTGAAGTCAGACACTGCGTAAGTGAATAGTCTCTTCATCGAGAATTGAAACGTGTTACTTGCATGCGATTATTGCGTTTGCCTCAATGACATTTCGCGGATTCATTATTGCGTTCCTTCTATTTCATCATAGGTTCCTTGGTATTTGATAATTAACGACGTGTACAAGTAAAAACATATATTTCCGTTCTTGGCAAATTGATTAACAGTTACGCAGCTTCTGATCTCGCCATTTCAATGATTCTCAACTATTTTCAATTTCATTAACGACTCACTTCTATTTAAAAGAATCTCAAAAATACCTCTCAATTAGAAATCAGTATCTTAGATACCTCTATCAATCAACCTTAAAAGTGTCAATCTCAGAAGGCTTCCTGGTTGAAGCTCGCGTCGTCCCAGAAATGAAAAATGTCAGCTCCCATCGTGTGTAAATATTCACAAAATTGACATGAAAGAACTTCTCACCGGTTGCTGGCCCGAGTTCTGCGGGCTCTGCACGAGCAATTGCTGGAGAGCCTGGTTCTGCGCTAGCAGTTGCTGCTGGATCTGAATGTTTTGCGCCATGGCGCTCTGCAAGAACGCTCTCTGCACGTTCTGCTGGTAGGCCATCATTTCGTTGTTCTGGCTGGGCGGCGAGTTAGGATACTGCGGAAGACTGAGCCCCTGCATGCTGTAAATCGGTATTGGCATGAAACCTGCGCCCATGTTCATGCTGGTGCTCTGAGCTGGTGGCACCTGTTGCGCCGCGCTGAACATCGGCATCATCATCGGCGGAGACATCATTCCTGGAGTGATCGCGCTGAAGTTGAACGTCGCGTTTTGATTAGGTATGTCCATGTTACCGCCGCCTTTGATCTTCTCTTGGAGCACTTCAGCTGTGATCGGTTCATCCTCGGAGCCTGCCAACATCAGCTTCACGAAATCTTCGACATTCCTGGCACTTTTTACTTTGATCTCTCTCCTGTCACTTGTCGTCTTTGTGGAATCTAGGATTAGATCCCTTTGATTCCTATTTTCACTGTCTTCGTTTTCTTTGTCACTTGTCTTTGGAGAATCTAGGTTCACAGAATCTCTTTGACTCCTGTTGTCACATTTTTCTTTAGTTGTATCACTGATAGTATTTAGGGGACTGATTCCAACATCTTCTTGACTCGTGTTGTCACTGTTTTCTTTGTTTTGTTCGTGTTCACTGATGGGTTTGTTTAGAGACTCGAGGATAATAGCATCCCCTTGACTTCTGTCTTCACTGGTACCCTTGATGCTAGCTGCCAGGCTCCTCGCGTCGGACAACTCGTCGAGATTACCGTCGAGAACCGGCATGAACAGCTCGTCCAGGAACTGATCCACATCCGAAGCCTGACTAGGCACCCTGACGCGTCTCACGTGCGACGCCAGGGAAGGAGCTTCGCTCGTGTCAGACATGGCGGACGATTTCACGCCGTACTCGCTCTTCTCGATGTACGCTCGGCTCGATTGGCTGCCTGGCAGTGCTCGTTTACCTTCGAATTAAAAGAAAGCATAGTTATTCCTTATCGCAGAATAATCGTATTCATTTATAACTGCGTCTGTAATAGACAGGATGTATCTATTTAAAGTAATATACAACTGGAATTATAGAAATATTAATGGTATATTTTAGTCCGCACTGCCGGCAGGAAATGTAAGGACTGATACTATCACCTCTATGGGAGAATTTCATCATTTATGAATGCACTGTTTGACCTGCTCCTAATGAGTGAGAAAGTACTCTAATAGATACAGAACTTTTCTCTGGTTTATTATTTGTAATTTAAATTAGCATCGTTTCTTAGGAAAAGTACATCTTTATAAAGAGCGTCGTAAATAATACAGAATGAAAACGATCCTTGTTCGTGCAAGAAGTAGCTCGACAGACGTTAGTTCAAGTTTGCTAAAGAAACTTTTGTTTAATATTTTTAATATTTTCAAATTTAGTATACTCAAAAGAACAACCATTCACCAAGTAAAAATTAACCAACATAACTTTCCAAGTTTCAGTTTCTTTACTATGTATTGAACTTTGGATTGTTCTAAATTTTAAAATAATGACACATTAATGAAAGTTTGTTACTTACCAGGATATTGAGATTTGATGAACCTAGTCTGCGATCTGATATAGCTATTCTTGTCGTCCTCTGATCGTCCAGTCTGACTGACCGATTGAATGTCGGGATACTCGAAATCGATCGTCAAGTCCTCCTCCTCGATATTCGGCTCCGTCGACCTGGTTATCCTGCTGTACTTCCTCTCCTGCACGATTTCGGATCTGGTCATGTATTCAACGTTGCTGACCGCAGACGTCTCCCCGATTCTCTCGAGGCTGTGGTAACGTTCGTTCAGTTTCGACGAAGACAGGCCAAGATTCGCCAGTTTCACCGGAGGCAGTACTACTTCCGGTTGAAGAAGATTGTCCAGGCTGCGACTGCGTTGTTTCTCTCTCTCGAAATACCTGTCGTTCAGTGCTGATTTTCGAGACAAGCCTGTTGCTGTTGTGGTTTCTAATATGGCCTCGTGAGACTGCTTCCTTGCCTACAGCGCAATTAAATAGAAATTACTTATTTCATTGGTGAATCTAGGTTATCAAGATGTAACGTTATTTCCAACAGGATACTCTGTAAATTTCATTTTGCATTTGATACTTTCGTGTGTTGTCGAGTGGTGAATTTGATTTTAAAGTCTGAAACATTGAATTTAAAGTTCGTAGTAATAGTAAATCCAGTTTTACCGATGGTTTCGCCACCGGTGGTTGAGGCGGAGGAACAGCTGGTCGTCTAGGCGACTGGATTTCCGGTTCGACAGGTTTGTCCACAACTTTCGGCACTGGTTTCCGTTCGAGTGGCTGGAAAGTCTTCAACACTGGCGGTTCGATTTCTTGCTCTAATTCTCGGATTATCTGTGTGTGCTGAAATCAGGTGCACTCTGTTTAATACCACGAGCAACTATCACTATTATACTATGTATTCGAGTCACTGAATTTCATTATAACTCATTCATACATTAACGAGTAAATATACAGTTAAACTTTAAAATTTCATTACTAGAACAGTTTCAGAAACACGTCCTAATTCCTAAAAAACAAAAACTCACCTCTCTCTTTTTAATAGGTGGGAAACTATTCTTCCTCTGTTCCAGGAACATGTGTTTAGCAGCAGGGAAAGCAGGAGCCAGCTCCATCTCGGATATTAAATCGAGAACATAATCGAAGCCGTTCGTCTCCGTAACAATGGCGTCCGGGCCGTCCAACTGGTTCCACAGAGTGATAGTCCAACCGGAATTATCCACGCCATGGTTGTGAACCGCGAGATTTGCCAGTTCCTCGCAGGTTGTCCACGAGTCCACAGCACAGGTAACCGATTCACCTATAAATCGATTAACATCAATATTCCGTTCCACAAATCTCCATCTAAAATTCTTCATAACAAACTATACCTAAAATAATGAACTTTCGTTTTATAGAACATACTATAAACAAATCATTCCACATACGCGTAACAGAAAAATCAGAAGCAAAAAGGCGTATCTTAGAAAGATTGCTGAACGTCCACGTTCCGCGCACGCAAGCATACATTTACGTTCCAACGAAGCAAGCCAGCTTTTCTTGTACGCCGAGATCAAATCCGTCGATAAAAACCTTTAATAAAACCCTTCTATTCACTCGCTCCCTCACAATGAGCCACCTACCATCGTAGAATCCCACGCTGAGCGCCATGTTGACGCGGTTCCTGTTCGCCCGCCACTCCAGCACGCACGGCGGATAATTCCTGGGCACGTGGTGCACGATCTGTTGATTGTTGCTCATTATCCTAAATATCGTCCTCTCGCCTTGCAACAGCTTCCTCTGGCAGTACGCCTTGTACCCGTCGTACGCGTGATCGGACACGTATTTGAGAAAGTATTTGAACAACGTGGGACTGGGCTGGAACGCGGACAGGCAGTTCGACAATAGCAGCCAGCCTCTCTCTTTGTTCGCGTCGTTCTCATTCTTCCACGTTTGATTCGCCAGCTGGCAGAGAATCTCGTCCCGTAGCTTCTCGTTCACGATACCTTTGTTCACTATGTAGTCGCCGAGCGCCTGCTCCCTTTTGCCGCTCAGATTGTTCTCGTTCATGAACCGGAGGATCATCTTGAAAATCATCAGCGAGTCCGTGTAATCTTGGTCCCTGGCTTTCGTTAAGAACGGCGTCTTTATCGGCTCCCGTTTCATGCCAAAGATATGGCTCTTGAAGTAGATGTTGGTGAACTTGGAGAACTGGTGCTGATCGATGTCCGGCGGCAGGCTGTAATTGTGGTGCACCGGGATCACCTGGCCCACCACTTTCAGGAGATTCCTCTCTGTGTGGGTTGGCTGCCAATCTGAGGAGATGTTACGACAGTTTTGAGACACGAGTAATTTCAAATGATATAATCTATTTAATGAAATCTTGGAACTACTCAATAATGAATGCGCGTTAGAACTGTGCGGATTTCACTTAGATTTCGTTTAATTAGCTTAACGATAGTTTATTACTAAACAGTCTATTACAGGCACTGATAAGCGTTAAGTGGAAATCAGCTTAAACCTCGATGAACACCGTGAGTTAAGCATCCTAAAATAATGAACGAAATAATAGAAAGTGCGAGACAGTTCGAGGAAGAACCGGAGTAAGTCACACATTTTGAAAGTGAATGGTCTCTGAAGATCGAGTGATAGTTTCCCGAGTGTAACTGCAACAACAAGACGATAAACGAAGCTGATAAGGTACCGTCTAGTTTGCTGTAGATGAAGGCGAGCTCGGCAGGTATCTCCAAGTGATTGACGCCAGCCACAGCCCTCGACGTCCTCTCCTGTTCCTCTCTTTGTTGCTTCGCTTTCGCTCGTTCCTTGCTGGCTCTCTCGATTTCTGCTCTCTTCGCCATTTCCTCCTTCAGGACTTTGAACTTCTCACGCTGTTTCTTCCCCCTGTATATCTTCTGCGCCATGAGCGCCGCTTTCTTCAGCGCCTTGAACTTCTTCCTTTCCCGATAACCGCGGTACACCGCTTGGATCAGCACAGTGCTCCGCGAAATGTTCAGGAACCTCCTTCTCGCGAGGAATCCTCTCGTGTACCTGCAATTTTTCGATAAACAACGAACCGTAATATTCGAACGATGTCCTTCTCGTATAAAGTTCTCCATCTTCTAAGCCATATTTAAACCTTAATCGCACAGAATACTTTGTGTACTCGGAACTCAAGGAAATAGGGGGTTTTATTGAAATTTTGGAAGATTCTTATGTTGCTGTAATGAAAATCGAGAAAATCAAGGAAGTAAGTGTCTATTTGATTCTAGATTGTTTGAAACGTCGGTAGTGTTGATTCTACAATTGTTATCAACATTGTACGTTCGTACCTTTGAACAGTTATGGCAGCTCTTTCTAAGATAAGGGCTCGATTGTACTCCAGCGTCCTCTCCAGAGATTCCCTGAGGAACACTCTCGTCAGGCCCAGCTGATACTGCGATTGCGCCTCTTTGGACGCAGCTTTGTCGAGTATTATGCGGCAGAGTTCCTTGTTGGGTGCTCCCCGAGGTAAATGCGTAGACACCAGGTATCTATAACGATCAACAAAGTGTCCGAAAAGGAGTCGAACAGGGTAACCCGTTTTCCGTATACGGATCGTCTCGAGCATTCCAGTGTAACGAAGTTGCTCGAGCACGCAAGGCATGTCGAATTTCATTGGCGCCTTCTCCGTGTTTGGCTTGATGCATCGCACGAACCACGGATTGCATCTGCAACATTCATGAAATTTTATATAATTCGTCGAATCTCTGGAAAAACACGAGATATCGAACGATATGAAAAAGTGTGAAAAGATGAAGGATGAGTGTTACGATCGATGTACATTAATCTGTCCTTGAGTGTTTAGTTTGTTCTTGTAAGAGATGAAAATAGTTTCAATTAATTATTCTCGGTCTTTCAAGTACAAGCAAACATTGAGCAGTATTTACGACTGTTCCACTGTACAACGTGATTTTATCTGTATCAGTTTACTCTTCACTTCCGCGCGAAACTCTGAATTCGTAGATAATTCTGTTTGATTTTGGATCGCGACTCGTGAAAGTCGTGGAAATATCGAGATACATTTGATTAAATTTCACACCGCGTGCACAGAGACTTCTAGTTAATGCGCGTTTTTGCTTAAATATGAACGCGAGGCGTTAGAAAGTTGGGACTAAATACTTCCTGGAATTCTAATGTTTGCAATACTTAATTATGATTCTTTGATACTTTGATAACTCTTTATACACATTACTCATAGAAACACGAAGCTAAAGAAATTTGCTTGATATTTTGGTAGATCCTTTTACGCTTGAATCTTAATGAAGACGTTACTTTAACCCTTAGCATTTCATTTTATTGCAACCTCTACTGTTTTAACAATTTTTTCTATATTTATTTGTAGTATCACAATTGTACCATTTAAAGGTTACATTTCAATGACTCCCAAATATTCTTGAGTAAATAAATAGAGCCTCGTATTAAGTTATAATTGAATGAACTAACGTCGGACCGCAAAGGGTTAAATATATTTAACACAAAACGCGAGATGAATTGAATAAAACTAGTTCCGAAATAATTACTGTGACATGGAGTCTAGAAGTTGCTGCAGACTGTCATGGAAACGAGCAGACACTGTCGGCGTTCTAGGCTTCATGGTAACAAATCTGCCGTTTGGTTTATTCATCGTTTTGTTAGCCTCGTGAGTTGTCCTTACGTGCTGGAACATTTTGCTGACCATCTGGAAGACAATTATCGAGCAATGCCTGACGCCGAGAACGTTAATAATGCATTTCCCTTAAACGGCGTGGCACTTACCGATATTTTACTGCTTATTAATAGCTCCACGACGTCTGGTCTCAGAGTGTCCCTATTTTTATCCAAGAAACCTTCGACGTTGTACCAAACTTGGCCGGCGTAGTGCTTAATAGCGAACTCGGCTGAATTCATTCTCGGCCTCGAGTACAGTTCGCTCAGAGCGTGATTGTAATGACACTTCTCGAGGAACGAGAGGTCTGTCGCTTTGGGGAAATTACTCTCGTCGTCCAACAAATGCAAAATTCCGACTGGTTTCTTAGCGATCAGATGAATAACAGGTAAATTATCCTGCAGGGAAAAATAACAATTTCATTTTAATTCAAATGGCTTGCTCTTTTTAAATTCCATCAGCGAATTTGCCGGTTAAGAATCTCAATTAGTAGAAAAAAAAAGATATTTACAGGTGAGGGAAGAAAGATGAGAAAAGAAAAGCGATCATTTGTTTAAAATGAAACTCGAATAAAGACGAGTATTAATCGGTTTTGTATGGTAATTATATTTTGGATCTTTATATAGATCCCGATTTTCATCGATTAATCGGTGTAAATGTATTTTCACTTACAGTGTAATTAATGGTGGTCCAGTCGATCTTTTCTTTCGCGTACTCTTGCTGCTCCAGCTTGAAGATATGCTTGTTAAAGTAGAACTGCAGATTCTCGTTCGCATAATTAATACACAGCTGCTCCAGGCTGTTCTCCGCGAAGTTCTCGAAGCCGAATATATCGAGGATCGATATGGCTGCTGTTTGTTTGGTACCCTTGTAGACGATATGATTTACTCGGGCAACCAGCCAGGAGAACAATGAACTGTACAGTGCCTTTGCGAAGGCATCCCTGGCATCCAGAGCTTGATCGATATTCAACGCGGTGAAGACTCTCTCGTTTCTGGCTTCCTGCAAATCGACTCAATTATTTCCCATTGAACGTCTCCTTTCGTTGCATGTTTCCTTTTTCCTTTGAATTTTCTCTTCAAACATTGAAATATAGACATATATTTTCTCCTCAGAAATTGAAATATAGAAATCAATTTTCTCTTCGAAAATTGAAATATAGAAATCAATCTACTCTTCAAAAATTGAAATATAGAAATTAATCTTCTCTTCAAAAATTGAAATATAGAAATCAATTTTCTCGTCAAAAATTGAAATATAGAAATCAATCTTCTCTTCAAAAATTGAAATATAGAAATCAACTTTCTATTAGTAACAACTGGATTGTAGATCTTGATACATTGATGAGAAATTTGCAACATCCAAAGATAGATAAACATCGAAGTTCAATGTTTCTAAGTATATCCTTAAAATATTCAACTCGCATAAAAGTCTGCAGTCTAGTAACAACAAACACAACGAATATAACGTATTTTCATTATATTTTTCAACGCACTGTAGTTTTAGTCGTCAACGCCCGGATGATCCCATCGGAATTGACTTGAAGAAGATGAGCTGCCCAGCGAATTTCGGCATCGGAGCCGACTTCAACCCCTTCCTGGCCGTGTCTCATCTGTTTCCGGTGAAAATAAACGTTGCCGAGGTGCAGTACGCTAGCTAAAATCTTGAAGATCGTGTCTTGTTCCTCGGAAGTGAATCCCAACACTTGCATGGCGGATAAAAGAGCTTTGAAGTCTTGGACATCGCTTTTCCCATCGATTTCGCAGTTTCCACCCTGAAAATTCACATTTTCATTTCCTTCTCTTACCAAAGATGACTCGCAAGGAAGTTACCGAGGTTCTTAATTACCTGATTGAGGTAGAAGTACTTATCCGGCGTGAGCAATCCGTATTTGTCCCTGAGTTGCTGGTCCAGACCAGCCAGAAGCTCGTAGAAGACGTGATAATTCCTTTCTTCCGACGCTTGCGTGACTATTCTGCTTTTCTCGAGCAGGTACTGGGTTATTCTTCCCCCCACGATCACTCCACTGGGGATAATGTTACGATTATGTTAAATAATCAGCCTTGATGAATCGTAATTGGTTTTAGTAGAGTTTCATAATCTCAATGGGAAGAATAGCGATGCAAATGAACCCGGGTGAATCAAAGTACACTTCTTAATGAATTTAAATTAGGCTCTTGTTGATCATTACTTTCGCAATTAAATATTATTATCTAATACATTCAATATTCACGAACAGCTAAACAGATTGTGAATTAGCCATTCATAGGAAATTACGTAATTCCCATCCCCGTTACAAAGTAACCGAAGCTTTCATAATATTTCCAGTTTCGTATTCCACATTGTTTAATAAACTGCCGTGATTGATTTAAAATCTACGGAATTCCTCTAATCTAACTTCTAATCTTTCGTTCCCGTTGGGCTCGAAGCGATGAAGAAATCAAACGTCAGATGTTGCCGAGATAAAATTAACGTTAACAAGTATATCGGTCGATCTACGAAATCGTGCACACTCACTCTCTGAAATAGACCTCTAAATATTTGCCGAATCGGCTGCTGTTGTCGTTCCTGGGCGTCTTCGCGTTCCCGAAGCTCTCGAGTAATGGCGTCGCCTCGAGGATCTGCTCGGTGACGAGATTGTTCGGCGCTCGATTAACGGCGGCTAGATACTGCATCACGAGTTTCGTGGACTCCGTTTTCCCCGAGCCGGATTCACCGGAAATAACCACTACTTGGTTCGCGCTCGCGTTGTTCGCGGCTGTTACTTGACTATACGCCGACGATCCCACGGCGAACAGATGACTGCAATTATATGGCGACATTTTTATCAGTTCATGATAAAGAACTAGTCAATGGGACCGGTTATGAGGATACCGTAAAAATATCCGTGTAACATTATTCATGAGTTTGAAGGCTGATGGCTGTTTTAAATAATTCTATCGTAATTCACAATAAAAAAGGTATTGTGGCGATATTTTATTGTCGAATAATGTTCTTATAACATAGTTTCAATTATACCTGAGTGCGTACGGTAAGTACTTCTTCGATAGGTATTATAGAAACACTGTTTTGGTGAAGTAGAATGTGACAGTATAGATCAGACAGAAGAAATGTGTGCTTGTTTTACAAATATAATATTTTTACGAGCTGTTTGACAGTTTGTATAGGTAACACAGGATAATGGAAGTATATAGAACACTTTCGTAAGTTTCTAAATTCATTTAAATGATTTTATGTAACGTAATTGGTTTTTCAATGAGTGTTTAACACTAGGTTTACGGAACACGTCAAATTTACGCATATTGGATTTTAGAAATATTATTTTGTAAATGTTTACGCCGATTTTGATTGATGCGATCACACTGACATGTACCCCAATTACCTACTATCAAATCTCCAGTTTCCACTATCTAAATAAACGAGCATCAATTCTTTTAGGAATAGTAGAATGAAGTGTACAATAAATGCCCGTAAACCTAGTGTTAATTTTTCTAGTTTTCTTTTGAATTATTTGGAATTATATATTTTATTTGTAGCGAGTGTATTAGAATATGTTTCGTAATTCTTTACTCCACGCGGGCGTGTATCTTAAATCACAGCGGAATGAAACTCACGGCGGCAGGGTCCCGAGTATTCGTCCTTCATAGAGTTTCACTTGGTCCAGGCCGTAAATGTCAAACATTTTATAAGGATTCACTGCCACTAAGATGCTGCCCGTGTACGTCTGCCGTTAAAGAAATACATATTCATTGAATTATCATCGGACGATTTTTATTAGCGCATATTGGAAACTCGATAAGCAAACTTACGTATATCAACTCCTTGTCGTATCGAATTTTCAGGTTCCATAATAAAGAGGCCTCATTGAGATCGCTGTAATTTCGACAATAGTTCCCGATTACACATTCAACTCTGATTTATAATGCATTCAGATGGCCGAGAGAAATATTAAACTCACGTTAGCTGAATCATATCTTCGACTCCATTTTGCCCAAGATCCTGCCTCGGCTTCACTCCGCTCAAGTTGGTGAGAGTGAAGATCTGCGGCTGAAATTCAAAAATCCAGTTGGAATTCATCAAATATTTGCAAACCAATCATTCCAATATTTATCTTTCTCAATTGATTTCTATCTCAAACATCAATTACCTATTCTAATATCAAATTTCACAAAACTCTTTCAATGAAACAATGAAATCTCAATATCAGCCAAATAATTTCCTACCTAATCTAAACAGTTATTCAACTAAAATCCCCATTATCCATTGTTATATTCTTCACCCAACCCCTTCCCTAGAATTCGAAGGTTCAAAGCCAATAAATCGTAAATGACCAATCACCGAAGCATTCATCAAAGGAAAAGGAAACAATCCGAAAACGTCGTCTCGCACCGCATTACATTTTCGTCGATCACTCGTATGCAAAGGTACGTCAATGGTTCCGGCGACCTCTTCAACTTCGGCCTCAGGGTCGCGTCTCTGTTCACCGTTCTCCTGCTCGCCCCCTGCCTCCTCGAGTACCCGGCGGAGTCGGTTTCGCAGGTTTCCATCGGATAAACGCGAAAAAACTCGCGCGACGACGTGGACGTGGCTCTTGAGGATCGCGGCGAGCCATCGAGGAATCCTTTCTGGCGACGATCGCAGCCGCCATTGTCGAAGTTCGGTCCATCGACGACCTCTCTTAAATTCTCCACGACGGACCTCGTCGTTTTGTAATGCCACTCGACGAAGTTCTGCCGCGGCGAGCACAAGCACACCCCATCGTCCTTGCAGTCGAAGACACTTTCCTCCGATCGTAACCTTGACTTTTGCACGGGAACATCGTAAACTGCCACTAACGGAGCGTACTGATTCTGATTCATTTCGGAACAGCTGTCCGAGCTGCGGTCTTCGGCTTGATCTCGATGGAATCCATCGGAATGGTAACTGTTACCATTCGAGTCGGATGATTCTGATGAATGGACGGTCTCGGCGCTGATGGACACGCTGGAGGATGATGATGCTAACTGGTCCGCTGACACTGCGGAATAGTCTTGTGCATTCGCCATTGTAGCTTCAGAGAATTATCAGTCATTCGGGGTTTGTGTTTAGATAGTTTGCAAGCTTTTGTACTGGCGTTTGCTGGTACTCGGTTGGTTTAGGGCCTGCTGCTTCTTGTTTGATGACACTGGTGATTTGAGTTTATAGTTATGGATCTCTTCAATTGTATAACACTGGAACTACCGTTCAGAGTGACTGGCTTCGATTTTCTTGATTGGCAATGGTTGATATCTCGAAAGCACTGAATTCGAAATGATCTCGAGAATAGTTTCAGTTGAATATTGTAATACCCCAAGGAACAGAATAATGTTACAATTTTTGTAGGGATTATTTTCAAGATTATGTTATTTACATCATTGATATCAATTTTAACTTCTAATTTATCCTGAAAACTCAACAATATCAGTTCAATCCTCTTCAAATTCCTTCAAACGAAAACTTGAGGAACACGATCCGTCTGGAAGATTCCATTTTCGTTCACACCAGCTTCATAATCGATGTTCCACGTATCCTGTTGCAACCTCCCACGTCGTGCGCCATCAGCGGCGATTCACAAATCGTTATAAAAACCGTCGGATACAAAATTGCAAAACACGAACACGTCCGCGAGCCGTTACACCATTCAAAGATTACCCGTCATAAAACCCGAGAGCTCCCTCGAAATTGGCGCGTTTAACCCGATCATCCTACCGGAACTCTCCCAACAGTGTCCATATTCCTTCTTTTTTCCGTCGCGGCTGGGATTTTTGCGTGATTTCCCCGAGGATCGCGGCGGGAGAGCGCGCGCGCGCTCGTTGAAAAAGGAAGATCCGCCGCGGATTCACATAAGACACGAAAGCGAGCCGCTCACGTGAGACTTAACCGGATACCGGACCGCCTGAGTCTGCAGTTGCGATCGCATTGGCGTCGCACCGTCGCCGTCGCGGAGAATGCAGCTTCGCACTCCATTGACTTTACCGTGAACACATAATCCGCGTCGCGCGTATCACACGATATTAACCAGTTAAGTGTGGAATTTAGTTTGGAAAATCTCTCATTGTGTGCGCAATTAAATCAAATAATGAAGTGTACACTCGTTAAATGCAGGCCGAATGCACTTAAAATACATCCTAACGAAAAACTAAAGCGAAACGAAGAAGAATTACATATTTGTCTCAAAAAATAATCCATCGTTGAAAAGGTTAGCACCATTAAGAGTTTTAAGATGACAGTTAACTGGTGAACCAAAAATTCTAAAAGTTGACCTTTTTTCTTAGAATGTCACTTGAGAAAGAAGTTAAAAGATTTGAATATATACGAGGCAAATATTTGAAATTTTTATATTTTAAAATGAAATGTCATGGTTTCCGACGTTTGCTTGTCAAAATGAACCGGAGTTAATTATCGTGTCTAATTGAAACAACGAAGAGTGAATTTGAATTGAAACTTTGTATCATTGAGAATGGTGATTATATCATTTATAATGTGCCTAGAATTATCTTCTTTGTTTTCATGCGATGTTTCATGATACAAACGAAGAGATTTATATTATATCGTGCATAGTATCGATAATTATAGACGGAATCGTAATTAATTAAGTTGCAGGTTTAATTTGAATAGGGTTAAAACTCGATGAAAGTGTGTTGCAACTATCCGGGACTTACCCTATCGACGCGGCAGTAAACAGAAACCGATTCCGTTAGAGGTTTTTCAATAGACCGTCGCGGGGAACGCTGGAAATTAATTAAGAGCTTCCTTTCACTAAGGACGGCTGCTAACTAAAAGTTTAGGCCTCTCGCGTCGGAGCCTTTCCGGATAAATTACCAATTTTCTAATCCCGCGCGTTCCCGGTTCCAGGAATCCTGTAAATACGAGATGTAACCTGTTCCTCCGGCGTTTTTTTATGGCAATAAATACGGGGAGGAACTCGAAGCTAAACTGCTCGGAAATTATGTCTAATGGGGCTATCTACGTTATCGCAACGAGACCGGTGTTTTATGAAAACGGTTTATCACCGGCTAGGCTTAATGACGAAGCTAACTCGTCTCTCTCGTTTCCTCTGAAACCCGAGAGTTCGAAGCAGTTCCGAAAATAGCGGTATCCTTTGGAAAATTGGAAACTCGTCTATTTTCGCCGAAAGAAATACTCCCAACTATTATTTTGGTTCCACAATGGTTATTCTCCGATTCTATATCACTTCCTACGTTTCTAATCATCGTTTTACGTAATCCGTCGACTAGATTTTATGTTCCGCCGGTTTTCAGCGAAATATTTTCAGCCAGACAGAATTCTACTCGGCCGATGAACTGCAATTTCGCGAAATGAAAATCGGGAGACGATTGACCGATGTGATCGCGACGGTTACGCAACGTACAACTATGTGTTGCCTCTGTGTATTTTTAGTTTGTTGAACGCGATCGGTACGCGAGCGAATGAATTTCGTGTGAGGATCACCGTATTGAAAGTGCTCGAGGATGTTACGTAATTATTACGGAGCGGATTTTTGCATTTCAACGCCTGCGAATGCGACGACGTTTATAATGGCGCGTCAATGAAACGTTACACCGCTATCGATGCACGATGATGCATCGGGGAATCGAATATAACGCGCTGCCACTGCAGAAAATAATCGATATTCACGTTGAGTTCACTGATAAGGATTGGAAATTAATATTTGATTAAAATTTCGAATGGTATTCGTCTGTAATTTCCAGTAATCGAATGTTCTACCGATACAATATTACAAATCGAGTTTTCAAAGAATATATAATGAGCAATTAACATAATAACTGATTCAGGAGGATATAGATATTTATTTTAATTCTCTGTTTTAATATTCTTCGAGTATTACAGTACTTTATATTCGGTGTTCGTTTTAATTACAAGGAAAATCAATGTTCCTAAGCTCCAGTGAAACTGGTATTTCGAACTGAACAAACAATTCGAACTTAGTATTGGGCAATTACTACCGCCGATAGTTTACACAAATGGTAACTTGTAATTCGAGTAATTTTTATGACACTCGAACTGCTCGTTAACAAGATTGTACGTAGAAGCCGTTAACCAGGCATTATTTAATAAAGTGCTTTTCATGCTGGGAGCTTATAACGTGTAGTTAATTATTGCTGACAGTTAATGCCCGTTCTGTAGTTACCATTAACGTAATTCACCAGAAACGGTTAGGCCGAAGATAATTCCCCTAACCGCAGAATCTTCAGCCATGTTTCACGTTCAGTATGTATCCTGCGTTACACGAATTCCTACGTTACATGTGATACGTAAGCTGCAACTGTTTTTGCTGATATCCTTTATTTTTTCCATTTATGTCTTCATCGGATCTTCCTTCAGCAGGAAACCCGATTCGAATATGTGTTACGAACGTAGATAGTCGATGAACAGTGTAACTGTATTCTCAACAATGAACGGACAATCGTGAAACAACTTTTGTTCATTATGTTACAAGTGAAACGGATGTACTACGATATGATAGACAACAGACGATCTGAGAAGTCAATTTACCTATCAAGTTTCGAATATTCAAAACACGACACTATAGTTTCGAATATTATATAATACCAATTCATGAATAAAAATAAACCTAGTTTCTGTACAACAAAAGACACTTCTATAGAATCTACTTATCCTCAATTAACCTGCGAATGAAAATTCACAGAATATCCAAAATCCTATTTCTCAAACATTTCGGCAAACGATCGCAAGCTGTTGCCTGACTATGTACCGATTCTATTTAAACTTCATCTGTATACTCCATCGTTAGTTATTACAAAAGTATGTAAAGTAGAACAGAATAAAACCTCGTAGATACAAGATAATTCTCGACACATGGGAAACCATAATCACCAAATCACTAAACGAACAGTCAAAGAACTGGAAAACCAGAAGAAGAGTACCACGAACGGCAGCAGTGAAAGACGCGAACGCGAAAAACCCGTGGGCACGGTGTTGTTGCCAATACGATGTCCTTGGAGCTTGAAAGTGCAGGAAGGTGTTGCAAGTAGCCAGTCGCGCGCTTGCCCCTTTTCGATATGCACTTTCACGCCGGGATCAACACATCGATCCGCCATAGTAATTCCGCGAGGTACCGCGGTCCCGGCGTGGCGGAAGTATTTCGCGGTATTTCGCTGGGTATGCGCGGTATTCGACTTTCTATCTGGGACCAGACGCATTTGACTACCCCGTTAGGTGGCCACGCGATGGAAATCTCGTGTTACGCTCCACCTCTAACACACTTATCCGCGCGGGAACGCAAGATGATACCCTAAACCCGTAGCTACACTTCGCCTATCATTCGATGACTGTACCGAAGAATGCGGGTCTAATTGCAGCTAGTTTTCATATTCCCTCGTCTCATTTTATATAGTATCTTACTGTTCGTCGGGATGATTAGATTTAAACAAGTGAAACTATAAACAAAACGCTTAAGTCAACTACTGAGAGTATAGATCATGTATCATTTGACGTATTGACTGAGGAATGCGGGTCTAATTGTAGCTAGTTTTCATATTCCCTCGTCTCATTTTATATAGTATCTTACTGTTCGTCGGGATGATTAGATTTAAACAAGTGAAACTATAAACAAAACGCTTAAGTCAACTACTGAGAGTATAGATCATGTATCATTTGACGTCTTGACTGAGGAATGCGGGTCTAATTGTAGCTAGTTTTCGTCTTTTCTCGTCTCACTTTGTATACTATCTTACTGTGCGTCGGGATGATTAGATTTAAACAAGTGAAACTATAAACAAAACGATCGATCGAAGATCTCTTGCATCAGTTTAATCGCGTTACACGTTAAGTCAGCTACTGACAGTATAGATCATATATCATTTGACGTCTCGACTGAGGAATGTGGGTATAATTGTCACTAGTTTTCATCTTTTCTCGTCTCATTTTCTATACAAATTTGCTGTTCGTCGGGATGATTGTATTTAATTGAATGAAACTATAAACAGATCAGTTTGACGTCTTTGATTTGACGTCTGGATTTGACGTCTAGATTTGAGGTCTGGACTGAGGAATGTCTAATTAGTTAGCTTCCATCTTTTCAGTAGTAATTTACTATTAGTCAGTAGGATTCCACTGAACCAATCGAAATTGTAAGCAAAAGATGCAGCGAGAGACCTCTGTTGCCACTTTATCGTCTCGCTAGCCGCGAGTAGTAGATGGACTATAACCTTCTTTGCCTGTTCGTTCCTTTTTTCGTAACGGGTTCACGGTGCGAGCTTCAAGGAACTTATGGCACGGATTAGGATTTAGAATACTACACGGTTCCGTGCGAGTTACCGATCGGCGTTTCGCATTGAACCCGGAATTTATCGAACCATTGTGTACACGATCCAATGGGTATGAGTAATGGCAAAAGAAGAGTGAAGACTTTGAATGACGATCTCGATACCCAGGCACGAAGATGATAGATTCTACTTCGAAATTTTCTTAACATTCAATGCGAGCGAAATGTGCTTTATAATTTAGAAACTTTGATCAATGAAAGTTTCAATTTATAAGCATCTACTTGATTTTCTTAAGGTATAAAATGATAACCCTTTCTTGTAGTTCTGATTAATTAAATAGATACTCTAAAATCTTCCGAAAGCATCAATGCTGTAGAATTGATCAAAACTAAGCAATCAATAATCTCATTTCAAAGTATCTTCTTTTACGATAGTATACAATAGTTACAATCACAACTATAACCTTTGCCATCTCCTTCCCAAGAAAAGCCAAGATCCTATGATACACATATCCGTACAATAATCAGCTTGGACAAGTTCACCTCAGCGAGCAGCGCATGAAACGAGCACGGCGATTAGAGTAAAATCGAATCCATCGAAACAGCGATGGAATTATCGAATCCGCTACTGAGATAATCGAACGATCTACATAAGAGGTCGACGACCCGCGGCGGAGTCGCGATAAAAAGAAATCGCGCATAACTCCCGTATCACGTTTTTCCAGAGGCATTCGCGTCGCGACCCAGATCGCCACCATAAACAACCCATTCTTTTCCCATTGTGTCCGTGCCGAATTGTCAACGGCAAAAAATCAATAGAGCATAGTTAGAACACGTCGACCGACCGCCCGAAGCGAGGCGTCGTCTTAAGGAAATGCAGAATAACCGGTTGTTCCTTGGCCTCGAAGTGGACCCGTATTGTTGACTAGCACGCCATGCCTAACACACTTTTATCCCGGCTCCCTCTATCCCTTCGAGATAATAACGTACGGTGTAGTTTCATTGTTGGCCTGTCTATGGGGAGAACGGTAAATATCCGATTCCTATTCAGTCTGCGGGGAAAACGAGCGGGCCGAGTCGTCGGCGACTCGTTTTCTGCGACGCTGCACGGTGACGACCACGCGGATTTCGCGCGATTTATTTGATTGACAGGCGGCTCGATGGTTCGGCTGTTTGACGGGACGCCGGTCGATTTATATTCTATCATTCTGAGGTATACAAACATTCTTCGCGGTATTTTTAGCGACGAAACATGCGTTTTCTAAATTTAACCCTGTGCACTCCGAGCAATTTTTGATATAACCTTTCAGCAACTCCGAATCAGTTTTAATATGAACTATCAGCTACGAGCGTGCCTCTGTAAAAGATTTAAGACCCCGCTTTGTCGTTAAAAAAGCGCGTGTACATTTTAAAGTTATGTTTGACTGAAAACGAAGTTATAAACTTATCTTACAATGTCGCTGTAACGGCGACAACGGAGTGCAAAGGGTTAAGTTAACCCTTTGCGGACGAAGATTCTTCGAAACATACAAAATCTTCAACACATGAAGCTAAATTATATATCAGTTGCTTAATTAATAGAGAAAAATTAAAGTATATGCTGATCTCTTGCTGTTCGACTAATTAGATCATTTGTGATGACTTAGTCTTCCAAATTTGAACATTTCATCTCACCGAAATGCCGACATCCGTCCGCAGAGTTAATATTCTCTGAGGTTCATCGTTTTTACTCGATTGAACTTTTGAGTCTTTATATAATGGTCATGAAATTGACACTCTTGAACTTGGAGAATAATTTAAGTGAAGGTTAAAGGTAGCGTTAATGAAGTTTTTGATTGGGACTTATAAGTAGTTTAATGTTTGAAGAGAAGTTTTCGATGGTACTTAACATTTCTTTGTGCTCGAGTAATTAATATTGCATCGTGGCACGAGTGTGTAGATTTGAATGTTATATCGAGGTAGAAATGAATGGAATGAAATTTGTTTTTCGATGATGAAATTATTTTGTTGCAACAGACCGTTGAAATATCATGGCATGCGGTCGTTTGTGTGTCAGGCGATTTATGCGATCAAGCGTCCTCTTTCCATTCGTAAATGAGCTGGGGAATGTTCATTCAGATTCCACGCATTTATTGGATGCAAATGGAGATCGATAACTTCATACCTTGCCAGCGATCACTGCTTGAACGGAGAGGACGTTGGCAGCCCTGTGGTACTCCAGAACTTCACCTGGTAGCACGTGGCCGACACCTGGGTCGAACCACACCAATTCACCCTGAAGAAGAGGAAACAATCAATTAGAGTTAATCAGACACATACACGATCGATTTAGAAATTCTCTGTACCTAAGTCGGATAATTCCCAAAGAATTTACTGTTCAAACTCCGCAGATAAGTATAATCGGAGAATAAAGGTTCGTTCGTTAGTTTTAGAATAGCTCGCTCTTAATTGTCAGAGTTTACGTTGCTTGCTACAATAATTCAGAGCAAGGCTGATTAAGATATTTTTTAAAAGAGAAATCTGATTTATCAAGGTTGAAGCCAGTACCTTTCAACAACTGTTGCACACAAGTCTTTGGTTTCTTAAAACATAATGATTCGTATCATAGCTCACGAAATGCAGTTTTCTCTTTTTCAACTCAGGAATCTCTCAGGTTTTTCAACTTTTTCTGTTACACGTTCGTACCAGTAAGTTAATACAGATGTTTACGTCTCCTTACTTTCCTTATCCTCCCCTTCGATTTATCTAATTAGACTACCAATAAACTCTATCAATTTATTTAACCCTTTGCACTCGGATGTTTCTCACTAGAAATATTTAACATTCCTTTACGAGGCGAAGACGATGTTCTTTGAGACTAATTCGAAGAGAACAAAGTTTAACATTAAATATCACATTCTATAGTTTTACTATGTCAAATCAAGTGGTGACTGAGAGTCACCTCTCGAGTGCAAAGGGTTAAAGAATCAAATTATTTAAAGTACTCCCAGTTCAACTGCTCTCCACGATTGGCATTCGGAACCTAGTACCCTCGCAGTCAACACTGAAAGAAATGAACTAGAACAAACGAACCCACAGGTCAAAGAACGATACTCAATGAACATTTCCCTGAAAAGAAACGCGTCTCTCCGACATGCTAACCGTTTTCACGTTCCATGTCGGATAGCTCGGCGCGCTATCGTCCTTCCTCGCTTCAGTGCTCGCCGGTTGAACTTTCCTCTTCCCGGTGCAGAACCCAAAAATCGACGACGTGGTCACGGGCGAATTCGAGCGGCTGTTCGCCTCGTTGTAGGCTTTCACGTGGCTCGCCGCGGACTTCTTCACGTAGTTCGATCTCTCCTTGCTCTGCTTCGACGAGATACCAGTTTCCTTAGTCAATTTCCTGTGACACTCGGCCCCCGGTGCTTTCTCGGTTGAACACTTTCTCGAGCTTTTCACATAACTCGGCAAGGTAGTCGACAATCTGCCCACATTGGCAGCCTCTCTCTGGCCGACTCGGTAATTCTCGATCAGTCTCCCCTGCGACTTGGACCTGTACTTAGTCTCTCTGCTCTTGGTCCAGTTGCCGGACCTACACTCAACGTTCGAACCGCGCAAAACACAATCCCTCCACCTGTCACCTTCAACCTCGCACAAGTCCCTCTCGCGCACGTTGAACTCTTTGCTCCTGCAGGACGGGCTCTCCGACTGGATCTCGCCGGAGTCCTCGGTCCTGTAACTGTTCCTGTCTTCGTACGCGTTTTCGTCCTTCATGTTGTCGATGATCCTCTTCCTGGACATGGTTCTCTGCGTGTCTAGGCGAGCCTCGTGCCTACCGTCACCACCATCTTTCGAATCAGCCTCGTGAGCATATCTCTGAACACCCTTCGACGTCTTCCGAGACACTTTGGCGTAGAGAGCATTCCGCTGGGGGCTGCTTCGCATGTCAACCAGAGGCAGCGTCGCTGAGTGGTACGGCGCGTCCGGGACAGGGTCTCGAAGGTGCCTGGTAGTCGTCCTGAACTCGACGTCCACGGCTCGCTCCCTGACGTGGCCGGGTCTGGAGTACCTGGACAGTGTGTTCAGAGACGAATGGGATCCCCTAAGTGTCCCTGTGTTGGCAGGCAAAGAGGTCTTCCTCCTGCGGATCCTCCCGTAGACAGGCGGCTCCTTTCTGACCGCGTCCTTGGCCAGCCTAGGGCTGGCCCAGTCCTCGAGTCTCGACCCCCTCGACGAGTGTACTATCTTGGGCAAGGTCGACGGTCTGGGCGCAAGGCCGCCGGTGGTGTCCTGCAGCTTGCCGGTGACTGCCAGGAGATCGCAGACCGACCTGGACTCTCTCTCATCCTCTCTGCCCCACCTAGCTATCCTCGGCCGCGGCACGTTCTTCGAGAAACTGGAAGAGGTGCCACCTTTCGCCTCTGAACTTTCTAGCTTCTCCTCGAACCGACCCCTTCCACGCGACACGCCGACGGCTACGTCCACGCTGGCTCTTCTGCGCAGAATGTCTTGCCTCGAGACTTTCCTGAACGCTTGAGGAGCATGTGCCACCCTTCCTGGATCTTTCTGGGACCTTTTAGCAATGGAAGGTAGGGTCCTAGGTCGTTCCTGCTGATGTCTATCGTGATGATCCCTGTCCGTCTCCGTTGATCGCCTCCAATGGTGACGCGAGGCCTCCGAGTGCTTCGAGTTTAGCTCCTTTTCCTCTCTCTCTTTGGTGTATCTTCTTAGGATCTCTTTTCTGGAGACCGCCAGGTCCCGCGGGACCGTGTAGAAGATCTCTTGGTGGATCGGTTTAGCTTCCCGAGGCTCGATCCTGGGGTCCAGGTCCCTGGCGCGGCCGGAAGCGTGGTGCCTCCTCGCGCGTTCCGCCGATCCGCTGGAATTTGGAGCGGAATTTGTATCTGGGTCTGGGCCGGCGGAATTATGCAATGCGCGTCGAACGGATAACGGTTCCACGCCGGCGTAGAAAGCTTCCAAGCGCGTGTCTCGTGACGAAAACCGATTCCTCGAGGTCGACGATCGCGTAGACCTGCGCTCCGGCTTCCCGGCGCGCGCGGGATCCATGGTGACGGCTCGCCGGGGATGATTTTAACTTGGTGACCCGGGACTGCTAATGCGCTTGTCGTTTCTCATCGTTTCTTAGCTCGACCGATCCTCGATTTCAAATTAATCAAGTTAATGCTCAATCTTCATTGTTGCTTTCCTTACTCGTTAACATTATCTTGTTATTATAATAAAAATTCTCAAGTGTTATTCTTGCTTTCCATTACTAGAACGACTTTGGTATGTTCAATCCCTTAATTCTCATCGTTCCCTTCCGTAATCGCTAACATAGCTCAATCCCGATAGCGAAAATCGTCGTCTCGATTTCCTACTTTTCACAACGCGAAGTATTTATCGCAATCCACGTCGACAACTGTTCTCGGAAAACGAGAGTTCCCCGAAGCAGCGCGAAGACGGTTTCCGCGCCGGCGGATCGACCACTTTCCGTCACCGAAACCGGTAGCAATTAGCAGACCGTTCGATGTTTGCCGGACACGGCGTACACGAAGTCATGTTTAGACGTTCCGCGGGCCGGAATGCACTGTCGAAGACATTTTCAAAGGCCGCGCTAACGGGAACGTCAATTAAATCACGAACAGACCACGAAGCACGTAATCTTTGCGCGGGGACAAGGCTGCCGGGCGGTTTCCAGCGCGCGACACGCCGCGCCGCGCTGGTCTCGTTTAACACCAATTAACACCAGCCCGCCGCAACGTGTCCGCGTGAACCTGACATTGTTATCAGCCCCCGAAGGGTACGGGTCCGGCTGGACACCAGTTTCTCGCCTGACCGGATATTATCGAACGTTAGACCTCGCTCGCCGCTAATCTACGGGTAATATGATCCGCTGGAAGATCTTGCATAATTAGCCGCGGTTTCGAGCAGCACGTTTTATTTACCGCCTTCGTGATACTTCCTCAACCCCTAGACTCAACGTTTAATTCCTTCTTTCTTCTAAATCCAGATTAGCTTTTTTTTTTAACTCTAAATAAGATATTGATCTTCCGCGAATCGTTAATACAGGCGTACGTTTCGAATGCAGATTTCCTTATTTCCCAGCGGATACTTGGCTTTACAGCTTCAGGAAGAAAGGTTTCTTTAAGCTTTGTGTTCATTGGTTTCATTAAATTGACAGTTTCATTTATTCATTGAAAAATTCTTCGATTTAATATTTCACAGCTCCGATAGCATCAATTGAATCGCGCGCATCGCTAGCCGCATCGTTTCGAATTATTTCCGTGCCTCGGTGAGAATCCTTAAGTCGACGATTCAGCTTCCTCGTTATAATTCTTCCTCCATCGTGCTGGCCGCGGAGAGATGCCACGGGGTTCAAGGTTAACGCGGATGGGACTTTCGTTCCCTATTCTTTCTATTTGCAGAAAGCTTCTGCAAACATGACCCGGCTCGTAAAGTCTGTCTCCGAGGATGAGAAAAGATGTCTCCTAATCGAATCCAGGTGTCAGTGACCCCTACTTTCATTCCACACTAGCCGCGTCACAGTGATCACGGTCTTTCGTTACGTAGCGACCGATCCTGGCGATCGTTATGTATTCAATTCGTTAATTAGCATGTCAACGATATCTTCTCGAATACTTCGTTGCTAAAGAACAGACTGAAGTTTTCTTGTAAGATTCCTATCGAAATGAACGACTCGTTGCTTCGACTTATCGATTCAACTTTAAACTCGCATTTAGTATCTCATGAAACTTTAAGACAGCCCATCGATGCACTGTGCCCTCCATAAAGCGATCTTTCGCGTGAATCCTGTTTTAACGGACATCCAGCAACAAGGACAGTATAATAACAATAATAACAACGATCCCGAGCAACAGGAACGCGTCCAGTAGCGAATCCCGCTCAACACACCGATCACGATCGGTCAAGATTCGAGACAATCGGGCCTGCGCGGCGTCGTCGCGCATTTTAAGCCCGTCTTTAAAGAAGTTAGGAGGTCGTCGAGACACGGTCTACTATCGAGCACATTGGGTCACCAGTCTCGAAAAATTCGTGTTGCCCGCGTTGAATTCGTTAACGGTCTTCCGAGACGCGACGTTTCGGGAATACGAGCGCGAGCCTCGAACCGCGCGGCGGCCGCCTAAGATCCCGTTCCTTCCCGATTTAAATCGCCGACACTTCCGTCACACGTATCCGTCCTCCATTTTCCTCGATCGAGTCCACTCGACGAACGAGATCTACGGGAACCAATAGAACACGCGGATCCCTCGGAACCGACGTCCACAAAGTATCCTCCGTCAGTTGTTGAACGCCTATGACACTCCTCTCTTTCTCCACGTCGCTGCGTCCACCGATCTCGCTGTCCTTCGACTCGTTTCACAAGCTAGTTTCACATACAGTCCCCCGTAGAGGATGCCCACGACGAACGACGACCGCGGAAATATTCTATACACGAGCGTTGAACGTCGCGCTCGCGTCGAAAAACCGTCGGCGCCGTGCAGCGTTTTCCGCCATGCCAGTCGTTCGCGAAAACCGATCGGCGAAACGGGGTCAGCCGGAAGCGGACGATACCGGGACCGTGTCCGCGCGGTTCGGGGTGAAAACGTGGCTCGGATCGCTCGCGGAACGAGACGCGAGGAGATTTTTCGGTGGCCCCGGGCGGCTGACCGACAAAATGGCGTCCGCGCTGGAGGAATCGGCTGCCGCGATCCGGACGCGAGGCTGTTCGATGCTACACTGGAAGTTATACGCCTCTTCTCCGCAACAATTGCTGCGTGTGCACAGTGGCGTACGCTGGTTTTATAATTAAGCCGCCTCGCGATGCTAATTGCCACGCTGTTCGGTCTTATGACTGTATTTAAATAAACCCTTCGGGCCTGTCTTTCCCCGGAACGGTTCAGGTCCGTTCGGGTCTGCTCGCTCGATCTGGTCGAATGTCGAGATGGGTTCGGACAGGTGAATGTGTTCCGTGCTTTCCCGGTGGAAAATGCTAGAAGAATAGGTGCTGGCGCCAGTGGATCGAAGTGCTTTGGGGTGGAACCAAGCGTGCCTCTCTTCTTATATAAATTACGCGCTAAATACGAGTACGCCTACGTGGAGTTGGGCTCGATATAGGCCTGCGGCCGCGGCTGTGGCGAACGGGAAGCGATTCTCTAACTAGCCACCGTGGCGAGTTGCAGAAACGGACGGGGCCTGTCGATGGTAAAAACCGATTGTGTTCGCGGAACCGTTCGAACCGCGCGCTGCGGTATGAGTACCGGGGGATTTATTGTTGGGAAATGGTTCCTGATGGCAGACGTTCGCGGCGTGTCACGGGAAATTTTTAGGAACCGCGACAACCGAAGGAACTCTGTCACTTTAAACGATCGCATAGCTTTCAAATGATTCGGTTCATTCGTTTGACGATCGTTTGCATTCTTTCGTGGATGTTGATAAGGGTTCCTTACTTGTTTTCGTTGAGTTTGGTTAGTGGACATTTCTGAAGTGGTTCGTGGGTGTTTAGAAGAGTTAACAATCCAGAAACTCCGTCGATCCTAAACTTTGATACTTTTAACGCTATTAGATATTTGAATTAGTAACAGCTTAAATTTCACAGTCTGTTTAGTGCTCCCTGCAATCCTTGAAAACGGTTCTAATAAAAATGCCACAGTCGAAGCATCTAATTATTTTTACTACGATCATCTGGGCAATTAACGGTTCCAAGGACTTCTAGCGTGTACATCTGAAAGCTTGTAACGTTGTCGTGGCCGTGGAAGCTTATAAGAAAACAGAAATGAAATTAGTAGAAAGTCGGCGAGCATCGACGCGATGAAAGAGACTAATGAGACACGAAGGAAATAATAATTCTGTTTTTTTCGGCTTCTGTGGATCCGTGTTTTCCGAGTAAGAAATTATTCGCCGCCGCTGCGCCAGGCGCTCGGGCAGACTTATCCGCGTTCTCACTTTTACCGGAGTCAGTATTACACGGGTCCAATCACGGGTAATGAGCCCGCGAATAATTGAGGAAGACATCGTCGTCGAGCAGCGTAACCGGCATTATGGGAGATTGAAGTAATGTAACGCGCGTCGTTCCAGCTTCGATAATTAATGCGCCACAGTTCCTTTTGTGATCATTGAAAATGGTACGGGCTATCGAGGATTACAAAACAGTTGCAATTATACATTCCAGGTTCGCGAAATAAAATGTTCATTAAACATCCGAAAACGCGTCTGAAACGTTTCATTTTTAATTGATCGAAGACACGCTGACTCTACGAACACCTTTTCCATTTTTCCTCGGTAGAACCATTGTGTTCAATCGCAAGTTCACACGAGCGAATAGGTCACACGCGACTGTTCATTAAACGCTTAACCCCCGTTTGTTAAGAAACATATTCGAAAGTGCACTTTCAAAGCTAGAATCGCGTTCAATGTCACTCGTTAATCTCATCCTCGCCGGGGTAATTTCGAAAACACGATGGAAACCACCCTGAACACTTTCCACGCTGAATAACGTCTCAATCACAATGTTCACTTCATTCCGTGGGAATTATTGGATCCGTTAACTGACTCGTTAATATTCCCGGTACCACCGCAAGGGAGACATATTCACCGCGTAATACAATTAATATAATCCTGTAAACAGTCTGCGAATGCTCCTGCAATTGAAACCGAAGTTCCTGAAAAGCACCGGCGCAGGGAAAAGAATCCCGTTGCGCTTTAACTTCTTCATACGCGATCGTAAAGACGCGAATTTCCATAAGGAATCCAACGGTAACCAATAAAAACGGGAAAATCGATGTTTCCCCGGGTATTTATTGCAGGATATAAAACGCCGCTGTCTTCAGCGCTATCGAAACATCCTGCCCGTTACATCGAGAAGCATCGCGCGTTCGGACGGGCTCCGCGGCGCAGAAGTTGTCTTCACTTTTACGCAATAGTTTTTTCTACTTTTTCCAGCGATCGCTGGGGCAACGAGGCGAGAAACGAAAATAGTAAGCGGGCTGCGTGCTCGCGGGCGCAGACGGAGTGCGACGCCGGACGAAACGGCGCGAAGCGCAGAGGCATTCGAAAGTGGCTGGTCGGCTCGGTGTATAGGCCCCGTACGACAACGCAATTGCGTGTGCACAGATCATTGACTCCGACCACGCAACCATCCGCGGCTGCGATCCTGACCACGTAAACATTGTGCAACGACGCAATGACCCGTGAGTAACCGATTGTTTTACAGTAACAATTAAAACCGCGCTTTTCGCGGAACGTGTCGACACCGTCCTACACGGGATACTCCATTGTGAACGATGATTATGATGAATAACGACCCGCGAACCATCAGCACATCTATGATGTTCGAGAATCATTTAAGTATAGGGAAATAAATATTAACTCTCCGCGGATCGTTTGAAATATAGAAAAGCTTCGGTGGAGTTAAATTATACGTCAATTGCTCAAACCGTAGACAGAAAGGAAAGCTGATTTCTTGCTGTTCGAGTAATTACATCATTTGTTTGCGACTCGGTCTTCTAAATACGGACATTTCATCTCGAAATGTCGGCATTCCGCGAAGGATTGAAGAATAGGAAATTTCTGTATCAGTGAAATAAGTAAATAATACTATTTTGCTTTTACAATGTGAGTGATCTAGATTTTTTTATAATTGATAATGATTCTATGGTTGATTCGTGTATAGTGTCGAGAAGGTTAATGGAACGATAGGACGAGGTAGTGGAATTAATATTGATTACGTTATTATAGTGTTTTTTATGCATTCCGCGGGGAGTTGTATTTGCAAAAGTAATGTAAGTAAATTGTCCCCTATCATTCTTGCGCAATTCAACGATAAACGCAGGCAATTTATTTCGCGAGACAGATAGAGCTGGTCTATGACGAAACAGTTAATGATTAATTTTCCGAACGCTATTACCCGGGAGAAAGTTATGCGGCGGTTCTGCAGCAATGTGACATTTGAGCGCGAGAAATTGAAGAAATGCTTCGCGGGGAAAAACGGAACGGGCGACTCACCTTTTGCCACTCAGAGTACATCTTGACACAGTGTTAGAACCGTCGAAGGGAACGGGCTACCCTCATTTTGCGCGGGCTGGCCAGATTGTTGTTGTCCGCTTCCTGCGAAAGAATACAATCCATCGTTAACTTCGTGAAACACGCGGAACAGCGCACGAAAAACGAGATCAAATTCAGTTGAAGCTAATGTGGAATAACTAGGCCACTGTATTCATTTACACTGCACCCGAGACTGCATTCATTTGAAATAATTGCCTGGAATTAAGTAAATACCAGCTGCAACGGAGGAACTTGTCATCGGTGCTCAGCGAATCGAGCGAAATCTCAATTTAATTACTGCCTATACGATTAACCTTCCAAATTCGGGAGCAGTTCATTATAAAATCAATTATGAAACGTTCCCTAATATTTCTTATTTAACCGTTTGAGTGCTGAGGAGCGCTATAGTGTTCTTCTTGTGTTGTGCCAAAATTGAGAGCGCGGAGGCGCTTCTGTTTATCAGTACCAATTATAATTTTCTTATTATGTTCTTGAAGAAGTAAATCGAAGTAAATTTACTTAAATAAATGTTATTTTTTCATATTTTTTATAATAACACAATATTTGTTATCTCATTAGATAAGTACTTAATTTTTTTGCATACACACTTAATTACTTCCGCATTTTTGGTAAATATCCACAAAAATTTAGCATCCAAACGGTTGAACACATTTCAATACTAAACAGTATTATTCAAATACTTGAATATTCGAATCTATATTTTTCAATTATCCAAATACTCAAAACTGTATTTCGCGCATTTCAATAGTACAATACTCATTCTCAGTTATTTTAGTCTGAGTGAAGTCAAAGTGCGCGTCAAAATAAAAACGAAGCGAGAGAGGAATCGAAGATAGGCAGTCGACGCAGGTGTGTCTCGCCCACGGGACTGCCGAATTCAAAAATCCGCATTCCGGATGCTCGAATCCGCCTCAAGGCCGGCTAGCCTTGACCACGACGGACCGCGTCAATTCGCATCGACGGTAAACACGTCGCCCGTCTCTTTCTGCAGTTCCGTCACGTCTCGAAATCAGGGGACGCAACAGCTGTGCAAAATCGATTTTTCATACCGCGTGCGCGAAATTCAGGTTCCCCGCGAGACGATCCCACATTCGGGCCCCGCTTTATGAGGCGTTCCTCCAACGTGCGGGTTACGTTGATACCGGAAGCTGAATGATAATCAGACGCTGCACGTTACTTCCGGCGAGCGACTCAGCCTTTCCGATCACGAAGCTTGCGAAGTTCGTGATCGCCGACTCGGCCGGTCGTAATCGGCTTCGTGCGACCGTCTTTCATGGCTTTCGAGCGAATTGTCGGGAACCGACGATTGCTGTCGTACGAATTAAAAATAGATCAATTGGAAATATTCACTATTTCTACTGTCTCTGCGGAAGACTTCTTTGTATGACGATTGTGACGTAAACTCTTCCGATAGAGTTACCTAGGCATATTGAATAACTCGATCGAAATTTGTAAGTTTCAAAGACAATCGCAGCTTCGAATCACTCATCGATCATTAACCCTTTGCACTCGAAAGTTTTTCGTTGAAATATTCAACACTTTCTGGCGAGGTATAGATGATATTGTTTGAAACTAATTTAACGATAATTCATAGATAAATTAAGCAACAAAGGTGTTTTACTTCAATATTTCACGTAACAATGCGAAGTTTAATTTGAAATATTGAATATTCAACTTTATAGTTTTGTTGTATCGAATCAAGTGGTGACTGAGAGTCACCTCTCGAGTGCAAAGGGTTAACAATCAATTTTATATTCTATATATTCCAATGTCCTACAAAGCGAATGAATTAAAGATAGACTCAAATCAAACCAACTATATAAGTATCGATAGAAAAACATAGATGAATATCTGTTAACCTCTTGTCCTACAACGAGTGAGACTCGTGAAGATTTTCAACATGATTCAACAAATATATATTACTCAGTCCATTCGAATTCAAAGCAAATATTCTCTGTAATCAACTATTATATTTAAAAGGAAATATAGGCATAACGTATGCTTAGAATTTTTCTCTTTTTCCAATAAATTATTAATGACAAAATAGCCGTATCGATCAGAGTTGAGAAAGAAGTCATAGGTCAAGGGGTTAATTTACTATATACAGCCTCGAGTATCGCGAGAAGAAGAAACGGAAGTCGAGGAATCGGTCTCCGTGGGATCGGAATCATGAAATACGAGGTTACCGAATCCTCGCGAAACGCGAGCGGCAGAATATTCCGGGAGCGTATAAAAATTTTACGCATCACGGGTTAAACATTTCTCCCACTTTCTCTCCGAGAATAACGAGCGGGCTGAAACGTCGGCGGATCGTTCGCGATCGGCGTCGCGGAGAGAGAAACGGTCGCCGTTCCTCCATCCTGCCGCGGGGATCGCTTCTTGCGACAGTTCCGGTATCCCAGGAACGCGAACCAGTCGATTTCAATGGCCGATCGCTTTCCAAACCCGTCGAGAAAACCGCCAACCATTTTCCACTTTTTTTTTCACCATTTTCTTCTTCCCCGATCGGTCTTCCGGCGCGTTTTCCAAAGTGAATCACGCGATCCCCCGATTTTCGCGGTGTTCCCCCCGCGCAGAGATCGCAGAACGCTTTACGACACTTCCTGTATTTTCGAAACGCCGCGGGCGATCGGTATCAGTCGAACTCCACGCGAGCATTATGTATTAACCGCGGCGGAAAGCATTCGATTGAATAAGTCGAGAGTCTTTCGTAACGCTCGCTCATTTATTAACGAAGGGCTTCGTTTATGAATGAGAGATTCGTCATCTGTGAATGAAGAATTTGTGGAGGTGAATGGAGTGATCGACTGATCGAGGTTATATGAATATTTCATAGAATATCTGATACAAGTATATCTACTGTTCAACTAATTCCTTTTGTTTCTTATCTATACTGCAACTAATACTGTCGACTGCATCGCTGTTCGAGATATTCAAAGGGGAAAATACATATATTGAAAAGCCTCTACCGACAGCGTGGTTCACCGAGGCTGTTTGCGCCGATGTTCCAACAAAGGAACGTATACGAGACCAATTGAAAGAAACTTAAGGTCATAAACGTTCCGACGCGAGAATAAAAGGATCGCGCGACAATCCTCGCAGTCAATGGGACGCGTTTAAGGACAAGTCGCCTCGCGAAAGGACAACAGGGGAACAATCGATGGTGTAGAAAGGCCAAATTGCCGTCGCCATTGTTCCCCGTTCGCCCCGTTCCGAAGCCGTACACGCCTCTTCTATTCCGGCACGGTGAAACCGGCGTCGCGCGTGTGTTGAGCGCAACCGACTTACCCGAGGGTGACTAACCAAATTAGCATAAGATTGCGAAATACGCATTCCACGGTGAGCACCGCAGAAGGACGCCGGCCGATACTTTTACTCGAGGATCTGTCCGCGTGATCGATCCTCGCGGGCGTGCGTACTACCACGATCCAGCCGCCGCGCTGGAAGCTGCGTGAATCACCGTCGATCAGTCGAACGTTTGAAAAAGAGAACGGCCGCGGCTGCGCTTTCCGAGGGAGACAATGAGAGATTGTTGCTAGAGGTCGAGCGATGTGAAACGTTCGACTAGACGAGAGAGAAATTCGATTTATCATTCAGGTAGATATTTTACGCTGAAACTACCGACCTCGTCAAAATGTCGGTCTCAGTTCTATTATTTCGCGGTTATTCATGGCTCAAGAGTATCAACCCTTTGAACTCGAAAATTTCCCATTAGAAATATTCAACGTTTTCCGGTAAAATATAGACATTCATCAAATCGAGAAACAAAGCTGTTTTATACCAATATTTCACATATCAATGCATTATACAAAGCTTAATATTATATATGACCTTATAAGTTTACTATTTCAAATCAAGCGGTGACTGTGAGTCATCTCTCGAGTGCAAAGGGTTAATCCTTTGAAGGCGAATTGATATTTCGAGATGAAACGAATGTTTGGAATACTAAGTTGTACGTAGATTATTTAACTACTCGTGCAGTAAGATTTGTGTCTCTGTTATTTAAGCTTGCAATATCTAATTTGGCAGAATCAGAAGATTTTGTACATTTTAAACAGTCTTCATCTGCAGTGGGTTCACTGTGAGAAGTGATTTTCGAATTGAACTGCTTAATATGTTAATTTTATTAGGAATACTGAAATTGAACGTAATTAGAATATTCGAGGATCGGTCGATTGAATTCGCTTTAACGAAGAATTTTCTCTAGATAATACGAGTAGTTACTGGTAGAAAATTGTTCTGTCTATTTATCGGAATAATTTATTAGTATCTATTTGAATAGGAATCCGAATAATTTGGAACGAGCATTCGCTGTACGAACGTGGTATGCTGTTGCTTTCCGCTGTGCCCGAGGAAAAATGACGAATAATATTTTCACTGTAAGAACCAATAGAATATCCTCGAAGAAACTTTTATTCGTGCAATATTGTGGGAAGTTTAAATGAAATCTTGCGCGGTTAAGTGCACAGTAAATCGGTGTACTTAAACGATCACCTGGTTCTTCGACTTCATGCCTCTTGAAAGTTGCACATTTATTACTTTATTCGATAAAGAATATAATATTTCCTCTCGATGTATAAAGGTCTGAATTACAAATAATTGAAGAAATTATAGTAATTCGAGTCGTCATAAATATTTTATAAGAAACTGAAGCGGAGAACGGGCCAAGGGACAAGAAAATTTATTGGCGATTCCGCGAGAAGTGATCGGTTCCATCGGATCTGCTGATTTATATTGAGACGCGTAAAAAACCAACTTACTGGCCTATGTGGAGCATGACAATTGTCGTTACTGTCCATACTCTAAATAACCGATTGTCCACCATGTCCACCGTAGACGCGGAATAAAATAATGCAACGGAATACAAGCAAACAGAACGTAATACTAAATTAAAAAAAACGAAAACGAATGAATATTAATAGCCTTCCGAGTTTATTTGTCTCGCAGCCGTTCATTAATAAGTTTCGCAGTGATTTTTATATATTCCTATGTAATTACGCACGATAATCCGGCGATAATATGATTTAAATTTTAATACGATC